GTTGGTGTGTTTTTGGTTCTTTTCTCTCTTTTTTGGCTTTTTTTAGTTCATTCAGACACAATGACATAAAAATGAGTGGACAGAGTATCAGACAGTGTAGACGTATCAGTGTGCAAAGCTAATGCAGTGAAAGATTAGCCGAAATAGCACTTGCATCTGTCCAGGTTTATGTTAGTCACTTGCATTGCATTGTGGGATCTTTTCTCTTGTTTGCAAAACCCCTTCCTATAAGAAGTCCCCCCTACCCCATCCCACTCTCTCTCTCTCTCTCCCTCTCTCTCCTCTCTCTCTCTCTCTCTCTCTCTCTGCACGCGTTGCCATGGAAACCCAGCAATTGGAAACCGAGAACTTTATGCATGATGGGAGAATGTGGCGAATGCTTGCATGCCTGAACGGAAAGAAGCTTTTGGATTGGCTCCTTGAATGTTCTCCTGTGCTCTGCTCTTTCCCCCCTCTGTAATTGCTTGTTATTCTCATTGCTTGTGTCCTGTCTTGTCTGCTTTCGTGAGGAACATATGTTTTTTTTTGATCCATCTGCATCGCTGTGCTCGTTCCTTTGTGTCTGCTCCTTTGCTATGGCTTTGCTTGCTATTGCTATCTGTGTGTATTTGTGGTTATGTTGTCCGCTGGTTGTCTATTAACCCTCAGGTTACTGATGTGCTTTAAACAGCAGTTGGTTATGTTTCTCAATGACATTGGCCAGGTGCTAATCAAGAGAAGGGCTCATATTTAAACAACAGGTAAACCGTTAAGGCTATATTTTAACATAAATTCTAAGCACTAAGCTGTCAGTCTTAACACCTTCAGAGCTTATATGGGCCAAAACTGAATTCAGAGTAGGGCCAACAACTGATTTTACTGTGCATAAAACTTTCCATTCAAGTTGCATAGAGCTTTTTCAGACAAACAGTGTTTTACCACCTGTTGTGACTGCAATGACCAGCTTTTTAATTAATGAGACTGTAAAACTTGACCATTTATGAGTTATCTTAAATGGTTTCAAGGCACATTTCACTAAGAGACCATTTGTCACTATGTCACTCATAGTGCCTCAGGAGCTATGCAGCTAGCTTAAATGTGCTTATTGTGAATTAGTGGTCACATGACTTGAAAAACCCAACCAATGAGCAAGAAAGGGAGGGATTTATCCGGGCTAAATTCTGTCTTAATGTGGATCATACGGTATGTTAAATTATGTATTTTAAATGGAATATTCCTATAAGCAAAGCAAATGCCTTGATTCATTTGCATGGACCTTGCTTAATTTAGTCAAATGTGATTTAGTACAAATACATATCAAACACAAAATAACAAATCAAAACAGTCTGTTTTCATAAGCCATTTTAATCAACTCGCCACGTGTACGTGTCACAGTGTATGACTGGGCTTTTTCAGTTGACAGCCAATATGGCCTGCAACCCGCATAATCCCGTGTTGACTAATATGAAGTGCTAATCACCCCATGTTGAATGTGTCATGCCAGATTGTGTTAATGTAGGTTACAGTAGATTACGCAGCATGAGCCGCCACGTGAGGAATAATTCCAAAAATGTTTGGTCGCTGCGAGCGGTCGGCCCTCAGAGCGTTTCTCACCTTCGCATTATGAAAACGGATTACTGCGAGTGCTGCACGGATTAAGATATCAATAGGGATTAACAAGTGATAAAATACAATAATAATCCCTGATCAAGCTTAAGCCCTGATTACCATATCAGCACATTTGAATCAATGCTTGTTTTAGGAGTCGCTCTGTATTCCTTAGCTGTAAGATCAAATGAAGATAGTCAGTTTCTGCTCACAATACAGGTCTAATGTCTGATTTGGCTCTGGTCCTGTGTGTCTGGTGGTGATTTATTAATTTATTCTTTTGAAGGGCATGCTCTGGCATGATTGGTCTGGTTTTTTTTAGTTTTTTTGGCCTGTTTTTGTACGGAGACGGGTTCGTATGTGATTAGACAGCATTTTATTTTCATTCCATCATCTTGACGCTGAAAGCTCTTAAATCGTTCCCATTCTCGGGACTGTCACTGAAAGCTGAATCAAACCTTAAAGTGATTCAGAGCGGCACGTCGTCAAACAAGGGAAAGGCACAGGCGTCCCATTTTCACCGGGCGTGCTAATCAAGGGTGAAACGCATCCTGCGTGTCTGACGCCTCAGAGTCTGTCGGACAGGAGCGCTTCATTAGATCCTTGTTCTTCGTAAAAGTCTCTTTTAATCTCCTAAACCGTAAGGGCCTCTATGAGGCCCCGGGCTTCTCAGAACTCATAACTTATATGTTGTTTTAATAATAGTTACCAAAAGTTTTAACAATAAGCCTGCAAAATGATGGCTTGGCAAATATGAAATTTATATAGCCATGTTTGGTGTATAAAGTTTGCTTCTTTAGTTTTGAACTGGAGCTATGAGGCTAATTGGACTGGAGCTAAGCTAAAGGCTTAGCAACCAAGCAACTGAAGCTTACAGTCATTCATCAGTATCAACTGTTGAAAAGTCCATTACAGCTACATTAACCTTTTTGGCTACATTATTACTTGCATTACTTTTTAGCTATATTAACACTGTTAGCTACATTATTAATTACATTACTTGCTAGCTACATTAACTCTGTTAGCTATTTTATTACTTCTGTTGCTTCTTAGATACTTTAATGCTGTTAACTACATAGTTATGTCATTAACCCTGTTAGCTATTTTACTTCATTAACCCTGTTAACATTACTTTCCTGCTAGAAAAACCAACCAGCATATGTTGTGTTTTAGATGTTGGTATGCTGAATCAGCTAAACCAGAATGGTTAATTAATATGTTGGTCACCAGCAAAACCAGCATATATTGTGTTTTGGATGCTGGCAGCTAAATCAGCTAAACCAGAATGGAATTCATGCTGGTCTGTGCTGTTATTTTCAGCAGGGTTGTTAGCTACATTAGCTTCATAACTCCAGTGCAAAACTAGAAGCAAAGTTCAGACACTGAACATGTCTTGACCGATCAGTGTGTTTAGCCTAATGGAAAAATGGGGACCGTGCTGTTCTCCTACCAACCATTAACAGACAAACTCTATTCAGATCAGCCCCGAAAGGACACGTTTTAACGTGGGCAGTGATGACATGTCGGCTCCATGGTGTCATTGGGACCTGGCGCGGACGGCCTCCCGCTGTCTCCTCCAGCTGTCTACAAAATGGTCGCCCTTTGGCCCTCACCCTGACTCTATCTTGGAAGCTAGCGCTTGACTGTGGCTCTTATGGGGGCAGTAAAATTATAAGCCACTAAGCTGTGCTTGTGCTAAGCATGGTTTTCAAAGCAGTGGCGGCTGTCTCGATGACAGCAAACATGTACTATGAGAATTCAGTTTAATTCAGTTTAATGCGCCTGTCTTACAATGCCAAATCCGATTCAGCTGGGTAGTTCAAATGGCTCTTCAGACCTCAGGGCCATTGCTGTTTTATTACTTTCAGCTACGGCCCTAAAATGAATCTTATTCATGAGCTTTTCTGTTCTTTGTCATGTCCAGTGGACTGGCTGGTCAAACTGCTGCTATCTACTGTAATCCGTTTAGAAAGGGCTATTTTGAATCCGCTAAACGCTATGCTATTTTTTCCTTGCATTTATGCATCAGCGCACCATAAAGTTATGATAATAGCGTCATTAGTCTACATTCAGACCCGTGCTCCTGGAATGTTCTCTGTGCTTGTTGCATTTTTTTTCTAAGATGTTAAATTTGAAACGGTCTGGTGTTCTTTGTCGAATGCTGAATACTGTGAATGCTGCTTGCTTTTGGTGCTGTGCTGTTGTTATAATGCTTGTATAAATATGCCTGGATGACAATTCATAGTGATGCATGCCCTCATCATCATTACGATAACCCTTCCTAAATCAAGGTAATGGCTGTTCTAGGCCTAACATTTGTTTTTCATGTGATAATTTTGTTGTCCAATTCTGGGTATCCTCTGGCGAATGCTAAAATGGAAATTTGAAATGGTGTGAAATGACTTTTTTAATTTCATGTGGCATTTATAACGAGCGTTTGAGTAGGTATATTGCAAGCCAACAGCATTTGTACTGGGATGCGGTTCATCAAAACAGCTGTCAAGTGATCCGAAAAAAAAGGCTTCCTGGTTGGTCAGATTTGTTTACCAGCCAGTAAACATTCAATTCAGTCTGGAAAGTTTTCCCATGGGCACCTTTTGCAACCTACACATCATTCTATAACGTTTAAGTCTCCATATGAACCTCCCCAAATCTCCTTTAAATCTCTCCAATCTCCAAAAAGCACTGCTGACCTGATTACCTGGGTGGAGATACTGGACTAAACAGTTTATCCTGAAGCTGATGGAGTTGTGTTATACTCTAGTCTTATGGGCTTATATCCTCCCCCATGGCTAAAGCTAGCGTTCAAAACCTTGATCCTGAGCGGCGAATCCCCGTGAGCCGCAAAATCAAGTACACGCTTTTGCTCAGATAACTGGCTGGGCTCCAGCCGTACCTAACACCCAAGAAACAAGAACCTGGGCTTGAACTGCTTCATTAAATTTAACGTTCCCCCTGCATCCGAAATGTGCACAAAACCTTGTAATGCATTACAACTTGGCTGTTGCCAGCTACTGAGAAATAGCTGCTTCAGAACAACATCTCAACATCTACACAGTATCAACAACCTCTGCCCTGTACAGTACCAGTCAAAAAAATGGACATTCTGGTTTTCAAATTCTTAAAGACATTTGGACTGAAAGGCTTGGGTTTTTTTCCAAGACAAACATCTACAGCGAAACTGCCTGTACATGAATTTATTTCCAAAAAGAAGAACGATTATTTACTCATGCTCACTAGTAATTTTCAGCAGCCAAAAGAAGCTCTGCAAGTGTGGAACTTCTTCAAGCCTGTTGGAAAAGCATCCCAGGTGGCTGCTCATGAAGCTGCTTGACAGAAAGCCAAGAGTATGCAAAGCAGCATCGAGGCAAAGAGGGGCTAACATCAAGACTCTGTTGAGTGGTATAAGATGC